TCTGGCTATATTTTTGATTTCATTATCTCCTATAAATATAGCACAAATTCACCCTATTGTTTACCCTCAATCGATGGCTCAAATATAATCCTACTCCTGTATCTACAAATTGGCTCAGTAGAACGCTCTAGAGTCTGTTTTATTGATGGGGCATGGCGGGACCAAGACAAGTTCTCCGGACAAGGATAGTTCTGTCGAAGGAATGGATCCGACGAGAAGATGATGGGGGCAATGAATCTCCAAAGGACCTTATCCGCCTTAATTTTGAGACGTAATTTATGCAACCGACAAAATTTAGTGGCAAAAAAGCTGGCACGTGGTGCCCGGTGTTCCCCTTCTTTTATGTTCAATGTCGATCCTATGCCCCCAGTTTGGTTTTTCGATCCGGGAGTGCATAGTTAAGAGTTTTTTTGTTATGTTGTTGTTTAAAAAAAAACACAATTCCAACCCACAACACGCTGAAACATGACATAGAGTTGCAAATACACAACTAAAGATGATTGTTGATGTATGCTAGGCCTGATGCACGGGACAATTACTTACAATCAAGAGCCTTGGTTTGGTTAAAACTCAATCGTTTTGGTACGGTGGTTTAACTTCCAAGCTGAAAGGCTGAGTGATTTTACTCGGTTTACGCTAGGTTTTGGGTACATTTTGGCTTACTTTACCCATAATAGGTTAACTAGAACTTGATCCGCCAATCCTTGCAGATGTTTGATTTAATTTATATCAAGCTAAATTCATAAACTGCTAATTTTATAAAAAAATCTTACGTATATTTTTTTTATATTTTGTAATTTATATATATAGGAGAATATATTATTTTATAATATAGATGTTTGATAATACTTTTCTTATTTGTACATAATATTATATTAAAATTTTATAACTTGATGCAATTTGATGTAATTGTCTATTCATACATTAACCTTTTGTTTTTTTGTTAATTTATTTTAAAATGAAACAACATACTAAAAATTAGACCTGGGAAAAAATCCCGAACCCGAGAAACCAAACCGAACCCAGCCCGTTTAAAGTGATATGGATCGGGACCGGATCTTGTTGAAAAACCGAATGGGCCTTAATTTTTGGTATAACGGGTGTCGTGTCGGATCGGTTTAAACCCGAGATACCAAATGGTTACATCAGATAACCGAGCTTTTCAAAGCCTTAGCCTCTTTCCTCTTTTCGATTCACCTCAGATCTCAACGAATCTCATCCTCGGCGAAATATCTGAAACCTTTCCAAAGCTTGAAATCCCTAAATATTCTCATAAAACTCGTTTCCTTAGTTTGATTATCCCATATCCTAACCGATTCTCGCATCTCACCCCGATTATCTTTCTCAGTTTGAACACAAAACCTTAATTCAAAGACCCCATAAATGTATCTTACCTCATCGTCTCTCTTCCATCACAGAGCTCTAGTAATCGATCAAAGGTACTCTAAATTAGAGTAGTCGATACTTTTTAAAAACTTTGAGAAGTTTGTTATTTTTTGCTTTTGGGTTAAGAGTTCTAATAATATTTTGATTTATGTGGCTTAAATTTCAGGTTTTGAATACTTTTTCAGTATGCGTGAACTAGTAATCTTAGGTTGTTGGTTGATGACTTCCTGTCATGCTTCATTTTAGATAGCCAATTGTTTGAATGTAGGAGAAAGACATTAGTTTTCTTAAAGTTATTCATCTATAAATCCAACGGTCTTTTAATTTCTTGATACGTTTTAGTACACACCCAAATGTGTTTGAATGTTTTAGATGCTTCGTGTAAGTGCAAGTCTGTGTTTTCTTTAATCTATTGTTGTAAATAGAAAATATGTGTTTGGTGCATTTTGAGATCAAGGATTCTAACGAGTAGTCGCTTCTCTTACAGATGGTTTCATTATCCTCAAAACTTCCATAAGCTGATGAAGAAACTATGGACGTTGAAATGCAATACAATGAAGATGCAAATGCAACATTAGGAGTCTCTTCTCAGTCTAAGAAGGTGAAGAAAACCGTTGTGCCTAGGTCCGGTGTCTGGAAGCATTACACCAGAACCAAAGACAGCCGTGACAAGTGCATTTGTCACTATTGTCAGAAGGTCTTCTCATGTGCTACCAAGTCAAGAACTCAAACTTTCAAAAGCAACTAACCATATGCAAATCGTACCATACATGGTTTCAAGTCAGGGAAAGAATCAAACCGTGATTAATACTGAAGGAAATCTGAACTCTTCAAAAGTCTCGGAGACAGTTTTCAGAGAAGCTTCTAATGAGTTGATTGTGCTAGAAGTCAAATGAGTTGATTGTGCATGCCTTGGAAACACTTCTACAGAAAGGTAATTAATTTCCTAAACCATGATCCTTTTAATCTTTTGTGTATATGTAACTTTATTGACATGTTTCCTCTCTTTACTTGCAAGGTTAACCTTTACAAGCCTCACTCGAGAAGGACTACAACCAGAGGCATTGTTGAAATGTATGTGACGAAGAAGGAAGCTTTGAAAAACATGCTCCGCCCAACCAAACAAAGAGTGTCACTTACAACTGACATATGGGTTTCTCACGTTACAGGTATCATAGACGTTTTGCAAGTTAGTTTATATTGGTTTTGTAGGTTATTTTTTTATATTGGTTTCCCAAGTTAGTGATGCACTGATGCTTACACGTTTTTTTTTTTGTTTCATGGTTAACATGTGCTAGTTATATGGTGATAACTGCCCATTTCATTGACGATTCATGGCAGTTGAGGAAGCTAATCATTGGCTTCAAGTACGTGATGGACCATAACGGTCATACTATACTGTCCTCTTAGGTGTCTCGCTAACTGAGGTATTCAGAAGGTATTTTGCATTACAATAGATAATGCTACTGCTAACACTTCTGCAATTGGGAGATTTGATAGGGAATTTCGTAATGTTGCTCCTGATGCTTTAGTTTTAGATGGTAGTTTTTTACACATGCGGTGCTCTACTCATATCATCAATTTGATTGCTAAAAAAGGTTTGGCTGAGGTTAGGGATAATGTGTTAGTGATTAGGAATGTTGTTTAGTACATACGTTCTTCTACAAGTAGGCTGAATGCATTTGATCTTAGAGTCACCATTGAGAGAATGATTAGGTGGAACTCAACCTTCCTCATGCTGTCTAGGGCTCTTCAGTTTAGAGTAGCATTTGACATGATGGAAGCAGAAGATAGGCTGTATAATGATTATTTCATGAAGACTGATAATGGAGTTAAGAGGTGTGGACCACCTGCTTCTACAGACTGGAGTGCCATTGATAAGCTGAAATGATTTCTGGTTATGTTTACAACATCACTCTGGTGATCTCTGCCTCATCAAAGGTCAACTCCTACAAATTCTATGGTGGGATAGTGACAATAAAAAGGAATTTGACTGCATTGGCTAACAGTTTTTGAAGTATTGGGATCGCATGAAGAATGTCAACAAAATGTTGATATTAGCGACTGTGTTTGATCCCAGGAAGAAGATGCATTTTGCAAAGCTTTGCTTTGAGAAATTGTATGAGAAGGAGAGCTTAGAGTCTAAAGAAATGCTTCGGTCTGTTTGTGATCTTCTTAAGTGCATGTTCAACGAGTACAACACTCGTTTCAGAGGGTCTATTGGACAATCCTCTCAGTCGAATCAAGCACCATCTCACGCAAGTCAAGAGTCTTAGGAACAAGGTACGGATTTAATGAAGCTGGTGGTTGTACATTTTGGTTATGAGAGGATGGATTGTGTGTACAAGGAGATGGTTACTGAAAAGGGAGAGGATACAAGAGATGAGCTAGAGGTGTACTTGAGGGATCCAGTTGAAAATCCGAAGCTCATGTTGGGTGTTGAGTTCGACTTTCATTCATGGTGGAAAGTTCACAAGATGAAGTATCATGTTCTTGCAGAAATGGCTAGAGATCTACTCGCCTTACAGGGCTCCTCTGTTGCTTCAGAAAGTGATTTTAGCACAAGTGGTAGGATCTTGGAGTCTTATCGGAGTTGCTTAACCCACTATATGATTGAAGTGCTTATGTGTATTGAGCGGTGGATGCATGCTGATATCAAGCTAACTGAACAAGTCCCTACAAACGAATAGATGCTTGATGATGTGGAATTGCTTGATCGGCTTGAGAAAGATTTATGTTCCTCTTCTGTTATTTTTATCTTACTTATGTAATGAATGTTTAACTTCTTGTCATTTGCTTTGTGTTTCAGAATTTCAAGCTCAATGTCTTGATGATTGAATGTTGGAGCTTGAAGGTTGAAGGGTGAGCTGAAGGCTGGCGTTTGCAGTTTTATTGTTTAATAATTTGATTTTGATTTCAATGAATAGAGTGTCTCATTTGTTGAGATTTTGGTTTATTTTTCAGGTTCTATGTTTCCTTTGTCTAAGAGAATCAAAGTGTTCTTTGTTTGTTTGTTTTTTAATATCAATAAGATTGTTTTACTTTCGTTTGAATCATGTTGATGTTCTGCAATTTAGTTTAGCTTTAATGTTCTGTTTTGTTTAAATTTTGGTGCATACTAATACAAATTGAGGACTGAAGAATCAAAATTCCGATTAAAATCTGAATCCGATATAACATCGGGTTAAACCAAGTACCATGTTAGTTTACTAAATCCGAACCTAACCCGATATAACCCAAACGAATCCGAACAGAATCTTTCTAAAATCCGAATGAGACTGTTTCTATGGTATACGAAAAACTGAAACCCGAGTGGACCTAACCGAAACCCGAATGGGGGTCCTGATTGCCTAGACCTACTAAAATTTTTAAATTGTTTGCATTACCTATTATTAATATTGTACGAATATTAATTAACTAGCCAGACTAAAGAAATAAAAAAATATATTTAATTTAATATAAATACAATGACAAAATATGTAAATAAAAAATACAAAAAATACAGTATTATTATCCATGTTTCATTACATTACCAAAGGGTACTTGAGTGTAATAATATAAATATATCACATACTAATGCAAACCGGGAAATTTCCGCCCGATATAGACCGGTCCGCGAACCAGATGAGAAATATTCTCTTTTAACCTCAAAGCTCGTCGTCTAGAAACCCTAGCGAATCCCTCTCAGCTTCAAGCTCGACACTAGTCTAGAGAGAGAAAAAGATGCCTCCGAAAGCCAAAGCAAAGGATGCAGGTCCCGTAGAGAGGCCAATCCTTGGCCGTTTCTCTTCTCACCTCAAGATCGGAATCGTAATTCATCTCTCTCTCTCTCTCTCTTTCTTTTAGATTCGCTCATCGATGAAATGAACATTTGATATGTATCTGACCTTGTGTGTCATATCGCAGGTTGGGTTACCAAACGTGGGAAAGTCTACACTTTTCAACACCCTTACGAAGCTTTCAATCCCAGCTGAGAACTTTCCCTTTTGTACCATTGAGCCCAACGAGGCACGTGTCAATATCCCTGATGAGAGGTTTGATTGGCTTTGCCAGCTGTACAAGCCCAAGAGTGAGGTAAAGTTTCTTACTTTACACTTTCATGACTTGCTCAAGTCATGTAATGTTTATGTTGCTGAAAGCTGACTTATGTGGTTTGTATCAGATTCCAGCTTTCTTGGAAATTCATGACATTGCTGGTCTTGTTAGAGGCGCTCATGAAGGACAAGGACTTGGAAACAACTTCTTGTCTCATATTCGTGCTGTTGATGGAATCTTCCATGTCTTACGTATGCCTTTTTCCATTTATTCATTTCCTTTTTTTTTAGCCTAGTATAAGCTTGATTTGATGCACTGTGCTGAGTTCCTAAAAGACCTAAGGCTTTTCAACAAGAGATTTCTGGTTAGAAACTATTCTATTCTCTCTAATGCGCCTTATGTAGTTCTTTGTATCTGTCCCTGAACAGCTGAGATGTTTTGTTAGTAGTTTTTTGATACTTCTTTTCTGGTTAGTAACTTTTCGACTAAACTTGTGCAGGTGCCTTTGAAGATCCTGATATTATTCATGTTGATGATATTGTGGATCCTGTTAGAGATTTGGAGACCATTACTGAAGAATTGCGACTAAAGGTGAAAACAAATCTATTACAGATCTCTGAAATCTTCGCATCTTAATGAACGTCTCTGTTATTTCTGTTAGTTTGATATTTCCATCCATTGTTGTTTGGTTAACATAATGAACTACTTTGGTGCAACTTTAGGATATTGAATTCATTAAAAAGAAGATTGAAGATGTCGAGAAGAGCATGAAGAGAAGCAATGACAAGGCGCTTAAAGTTGAACTTGAGCTCTTGCTAAAGGTATGCTTCTGGAATTCTATCCACGCTGTCCTGTTCTGTGAATGTTATCAGTACTCGTTACTTATTTATTGGGTACAGGTAAAAGCTTGGCTGGAAGAAGGAAAGGATGTCCGTTTTGGGGACTGGAAAGCAGCTGATATCGAGATTCTCAACACTTTCCAATTGCTTTCCGCTAAGCCCGTTGTTTACTTGGTGAGTAATCTTGAATTCTCATCTCGTTTTGCAATCATTTTTATATCAAGATAGATTATTTTACTTTTTTTTATACCTATGGACGGCAATTTTGTTTCTATAAATCTTCTCGCAAATTTAACCTATAATTTATTCTGTAGATTTTCTGATCTCTATGATTTACAGGTTTGTTTCATCTCAGCAAAGATTTATAAAGGCATGTTGTTTGGACTTTTTTTATGGTTACTGATTGCTCTCAAATATTAACTTACAGATTAACATGAATGAGAGAGACTACCAGAGGAAGAAAAACAAGTTCTTGCCAAAGATTCACGCTTGGTACTTATATATCCCTTCACAAACTATGTTAAATAATAAGTCAACATTTTACCCCTCTGCACCAACGCATTTACTTCCCCTTATACTTCTTCTAAACTGAAACTATTTGTTTGATCATTATGTAGGGTTCAAGAACACGGTGGTGATACTATGATTCCTTTCAGTGGTGTTTTTGAAAGGAGTCTCGCTGATATGCTCCCAGACGAAGCAGCAAAGTATTGTGAGGAGAACAAACTACAGAGGTTAGTAACAAAATGACTAGATGGTTTTTTTTTTATGAACAGTTCAAGTGATTCTAATGGCCTCTGTTTCTGTGACAGTGCTCTTCCGAGGATCATCAAAACTGGATTTTCAGCTATTAATCTCATATATTTCTTTACAGCAGGGCCTGATGAGGTATTTCAATCCTATCACTAGTAATTTATTTGGATGCACAACACACTTTAGTCCCTTTATCTCTGAGATATCCTCTGTAGTGAGCTGTTGGTAGTGTGTTGTCAGTTTAAGTGGTGCATATGCTGGATTTTGATGCTGTGAAAATATCCATCAATGATATTTTTGTTGTGCAGGTGAAGTGCTGGCAAATAAGACGCCAGTCAAAGGCTCCTCAAGCTGCAGGGGCCATTCATACTGATTTTGAGAGAGGATTTATTTGTGCCGAGGTTTCCTTCTCTTTTCTCTTGATTCTTTTTTCAATTTATTACTTTCTTTTTTACCCTGAATATGCATTTGCCAAGCCTTTTTCCTCCTGGTTTTGATGATCTGTTTCTACTAAGAAGTTGCATAATATTTCTTGTTTTCCCGGACATAATCGATGCTTGCATATTCTCATATTCTCATTGGTGTTGCAATCCTATTAATTTTTTGGATCTAGACACGTAAGCCTGTAGATCTCAAAGTAGAATCTTAATGTAGATCAGTTTGACAAACAAATCAATTGTTTACCTGAGTTGAAAGCTTTGTCTATTTTTGGAATTCAGTGTGGTTTATTTCAGTATTTTTGATATCATAGGTCATGAAGTTCGAGGATCTCAAGGAACTTGGCAATGAAACTGCAGTCAAGGTGCTTGACTAAAATCTATATGATTCACAGATTTGACAGTTGAGTCTAAACTTTAATCCTATAAAACTAATGCAGGGGGCAGGAAAATACAGACAGGAGGGGAAAACATATGTTGTTCAGGACGGAGATATCATTTTCTTCAAGTTCAACGTTTCTGGTGGTGGGAAGAAATAAGATTCCATTCTGTCTACGTCCTATCCGTGGTATCCTCTTCAGATCCTGAAGCTTTATAAAAATCCGAGAGATGAACCAAACTGTATTTTCTGTTTCTGTTAGTTGCAGTTTTTTAATTTGGTTTACCAAACATAAGTATCTGTAACTTTTGTTATTTTCTGCAGTTAAGCTTAAGACATGTCTTTGCCGTGAGACAAAGCATTTAAGCCTGCTGTATTGTAGAACTCCCTTTCAATAATCAGAAACAAATGCCTTATAAACCAAAATATACTAGGTGTTTTGCCCGCATTTGCGGGCTTAATAATTTTACTAATATCTATAAATAAATATATAATCAATTTATGTAAATTATAATAAATTATAGTTCATAGACTCAAAATATTTAATAATAAACTAAACAAATTCTTTCTATATATAAAATTTTTCATCATCATATAAAACATTTAGTAATAAATTAATATCTTTTTTAGACAAAACAAAAAAGAATAAAAATTATCTTTAATAATGTTTTGGATAACACAATATAAATTATTTATACATAAATTCTTCGCGAATTTATTTTTCATAATTAACTATATATTAACAAATAGAATTAGTTTTCAACGTTAATAAAGACTTTATAACATAATATAAAAAAGTTAGGTAAAGATAATTATCAAATTCATGAGATTCATTTTTTAATTTAGAATTAATCATATGTTAACAAATATAATTATTTTTCAAAATAAAGACTTTATCCCATAATATAAAAAAAAAATAAGGATAATTATCAAATAAATGAAATTCGTTTTTAATTTATAATTAATTATATATTAACTAATATAATTGTTTTTCAAGGTTAATAAAGACTTTATAACCCAATATAAAATAGTTTTAGATAAAGATAAATCTAAAATCATTGAAAATCTTTTTTATTTATTTTTAAACGAAATTAACTGCTCTAACTTTCAACGTGAGAGTTACAAAGTAACATATTTTCTAAAAAATATAATATTATTAACATAAATTCGTTTTTATTTTATAATAAATTAGTAAAACATGAAAATAAGCAAAATAACCTAAAATCATGGAGAAGTTGACAACCAAGCAAATTTACTTCTCAAATAATGTTATAGATGAAAAATATATTTTTAAGATAACAATCTAATACAAAAGAATTAACATATTTTCTAAAAATATAATATTATTAACATAAATTCGTTTTTATTATATAATAAATTATTAAAACATGAAAATAAGAAAACTAACCTAAAATCATGGAGAAATTGACAACTAAGCAAATTTACTTCTCAAATAATGTTATAGATAGATTTCCTGGTAACGCATTCTATATTTCACAAACTGTATTCAATGCATATAACAGTATGTCAAATTGATTCCAAAACTAGTGGTGTTTTAGAAAGAGTCAATGGTCCGTGAAAAAACGAAGATCAGGACAAAATAAATTGTTGTGATTCTTGAAGAGAATTTATAAAATAAATTGTTGTGATTCCGGTAAAATACATATTATACAAATACAATGCATCAATATGTCCACATGTGATTATTGCAAACGATCCACAACTTAAGAATTTAGCTAGTTTTGTTAAAAAGAAAATCTCGACTCGATTGTGTGTAATATATAAAAAGATAATCTCAATTTGATTGTGTGTAACATATAAAACCAAGACTGAGGAAGAGGAAAACTCGTTTTACACGAATCAACTGATGTTTTTGTCGAGAAGCAGAGCAAGAAAAAAAAAAGAAAAGAAAAAAAAATGAGTAAAATTTGATGGAGATGCCTATGAGGCGGATACCATGAGCTCTGATAAAGATAATCGATACAATATTTCAAAGTAGTTTTTGCTCGGCATTGTTAAAAAAGAACAAGTTTTTGAAGACAAAACTTTTGATGAAGGCGACTTTCAAAATATGTGAAATGCGCATAATTTTGATTATCAGATTATCAAATCGAATAAAAAATTTGTATGTAAGATGCGGGGATAATGCTTGCCATTAGAATGTTCAAGCAGAGTATTTGAAGGAATCTACATATTTCATTATAAAAAAAAATATTGGTAAACATACATGCACACCTTCAAACAAAACCAAAAGGCGTAAGATTGCTTCTGCCAAAACAATAAGCAGTCTGATTATGCATAAGTATGAAGGCGCCAAGGAAGGGCCAAAGCCTAATGATATCATAGAGATTACACGTATGGATCATGGAGGTGAGATCACAAGTTATTTAGTATATGATGCGCGTGAATATGCGGTCAATGCAATTAGAAATATTCCAAAGAGAAGTTATGGGCAATTAGGAAAAATACTGAAATACTTGCACATGCTGAGAGAGGTTAATCCGGGTACACATTCATCGTATGAGATTGACAGTAGTGGGAGATTTTAGTACATGTTTATTGCATTTGGGCAATCAATACGAGTATTCAACAAAGTTATGAGGCGAGTTATTGTGATTGATGGAATTTTTTGAAGAATAAATACATAAATATTCTATGGGTTGCAACTACTATAGACGAAAACACAAATTTGTATTATATTGCATTCAGAGTAGTCGACTTAGAGAATGGTCGTTCTTGGAATAGTTTATGACACAATTAAAGGTTATCATTGCTGATGATCATCATCTGACTTTTATTTTGGACTGACATGGGTCCATCACTAAGGCGCTTGAGAACATGTATCTAACAGCTAGACATGGTATTTATATTCATCATTTGTTGATTAATGTGGTAACATATTTCCAAGGGAAAGGACTTGTTGGGTTCGTTTCAAAGCGTCAAAAGCTTATAGAGTTGCTGAATTTGAAAAGACATTTGCTGATGTGTGTAATATCAGTCGCACAATTGGTAATTATCTAACGAAGGCTGATGTGCAAAAATGGGCTCGATGTCAATTCCATGGATACATATATGACATAAGGACAACTAACGCTGCTAAATCCATCAACTCTGATTTACGTTCACCGAGAGAATATCCCATCATTAATTTGTTGGACAGTATCAAAGAAATGTTGACACGGTGGTTTTATAAGCGTAAGAAACTGCTTTCAAAGCATAATATCCTCTCACCAAAGATGTTGAGAAAAAGATTTCAGGAAAGAGAAAACATTTGAAGTTTACCTTATCACTGAAGGTCGATTGCTTATTAGAGGTGATAAAATTGGCTGCTTAGTTGATTTGGATAGACAGACCTACTCATGTGGAAAGTACAACCTTATGAAGATCACTTGTAGGCACGCTATTAGAGTTGGTTTTCGTGAGAGCCACATACATTGACTGATTTGATGTACACGACATGAGCTTGGAGAGAAGCTTATCAGGAAAGCATGAATCATGTTGATATTCCTGAGGATGCTTGGTCCATACGAGAATATGTTAAGAAAATCAAAGTGCTACCACCGGACATAAGAAAAAGAGTTAGAAGGACAAGAAAACACATATATGCAACCGTTGAAGATAAGAATAGGTTATCGCAAACATCACAAAAAAAAAAATAGATGTGGTATTAGTGGGCTCAATAGCAAAACTTGTAAACTAAAAATATAACTAGTCAGAAATGGTAAGGGTCAACTTATATAGACAGTTGATTTTATTTGTGTTTCATGCTTGATTTATATGTGTTTTATGCTTGGTTCTTTGTATTACAGGATTCAAATTCACATGTGCAATTGATGGTAGTTGGCAGAGCTTATTAAAAAGTGAAAGTAGTGTATTCTTATCAGTGTTACGTATGCTTTTTGCTTCAACAAACTTTCAACAAACCAGAAAAATTAATATTATTTTCTTGTTATACATTCCTATCATTTCCATATGCTTTTTGCTTTTAAAATCTTTGAAGGCTGTTTTCATTTTCATTGTTATACATTGTTATCATGTTTCTTATGTTCTTGGCAATGATGTTCTTAGTTTCGTAGACAACTTATTATGAACAAAACTCTAAGAACTGCAAAATCATGTTATTCATAGTAAGGAGAAAACACTAAGAACCATAAATAGTCATATTCATTGTAAGAAGAAAACAGTGAGAAGAAAACAATAATTTCATACATTCTTAGCTTCTTAATTTTCCAAAAAGCCATAGAATGCTTCTTAAACAACCTACTTTAAGAGAAGTTTTCTGCTTCCCAATTTCTTCCTCCACTGTCGTTTTCAAACTCTTTTTCAGATCTTAAATGGTTGCCGGGTCCCCTCAAGAGTTGTGGCTCTTCTTGGTATAACATATCTACAAATTTTTCCTCAGGCATCGTTGCCGACAAAAGCTACAGAAACAGACAATTCAAGATATTCTTCTCGATCAGTGATCAAAGTTCCACTTAAGAAATTTTCAATCTAAGTACCCAAAACTGGGTATCATATGGAGAATAACCACACTAACAATAAACAAGACATGGAGAATTATATATTTCAGTCATTCATGAAAATAGAAAATCAACGAACCTCATGTTCAAGCATAAACCATCCTTCAGACACTTCCTGATGTTCTGGCCTGTAGTTTTTTTTTTCAAAAACAAAGCAACATCCTTTTTAGAAAATGAGAGATTAATTATATTCTATAAGCAAGACAGTAATAAAAAATCTTCAAATTAACAGACCTTCCATTCACCAATCTTATGATTCAGCAAACACTATCTTGGCAAAACTTAGAGATGGGAGAGAGTTGTTCATTTTGATCCAAGCTTTGACATCCAAGCCATTTATGTTGTTCATTCTGATCTCTATTCTCAATTGCCGTGAAAGTGGAGTATACATGCATTCTGATGCCCCAGAACAACTGCCAAATCCACTACAGAAGCAAAACTCAATTTCAACAAACCCAGAAGACAAAACATTAACAAAGACTTGAACTTTCAGATAATCAAAGAAACCTCAGCAATGGTAATAGAAATTTTGAACTCGAACAAGAGAAATACGATGACAGAATCGACCCAAACACACATCTAATCAAGTAGAGTCATAAAGTTTTTGTCTTAAATACATACATACAAGCTGAAATAATCATCATAGAGAGCATATATTACCACACTGGCTAAGCCGGATCAATAAGCGCCATGGATGGAATATATGAAGCAGATTGACGAACTATGTTCTACACATTGAAGCAGCAATTCTCGTCACTCTAGAACCATCTGGAAACCACACCATCTTCAAGCTTTCAACTTTCAACGCCTGATGAAAACAATGAAAGCAAGCACAATGTTAATCACTGAAGAAAGGAGAAGTCTTTTGGGCTGAGAATCATATTCGACAGAGCAAGATGAGGTAATAATCGAAACCCAAAAAAGAGAGGGAGGATCGAAACGTGGTGTGGTGGTGGTGGGACGGCTAGCGTGGTACCGAAAGGAGGAGAAGGGTTCGTCAAAAGACAGAGAAGCTGCTCGTTCAATTTTTCTTTCGTGGAGTTCATCTGCTGATTTCTCGTAATGTGACAGAGGAAAAAAAATGTGACAGAGGAGAGAATTGATCTTTTTTTTTGTGTGTGTATATAAAGCCTGTTCAAAAGGTTAACAAAGTATTTTGTGATTAAAATTTGAGATATTTTTCATTTAACTTTGGATATGCACCAGTAAGACATCTACACATAAGCAAATTAACGCTGCTAAGAAAATTTATTTTTCCGCTATACCAAACATAGCGTTTTAAATTTATAAACGCTATTAAAAAAATCAGTATTGGTATACAAAAGCAGAAATGTCAAAAATGCTATGCTAGGATGCTATTAATACCCATGTTTCCTGTAGTGGGTCTAGGACCATTGGGGAGAAACATCTAGTCAGGAAACTGGTATGTTAAAGCGATGGGAGTGTCCGGCCCCAACTCCAACCTCACACGAACAATAGTCTTTAAGTCATAGATAGACTCATTCTTTCAGACAAGAATGGCTTCACCATAGTAATCATTAGTGTTCACGAAATTCCAGTTGCCCGATTCAGATTTAACCCACACTCCTTGTTCAAGGTGCAAAGTATTTCCCATCTAAAGAACAAAAAGAGCAAATTATAAGTGAATAACTTCATACGACTGACAAAACGTTATTGTAGAACGTTAAAAGGAAACATAAATTAAGAATTATGATTCGTAATAAAAGACCCCACCACCCAAAAATAGACCGACAACATTAAAGAAAAACAAATACAAACAAGGATTACCTTTTCGCTAGAAATTCTTCAAACTCCCGGTATAAAGTTTATGAAACTGGAAAAGATTTGTTTTTTGCTGTGGAAAGATGAAGACAGGAAGTATTGATTTACATCAAAATGTGTGGTGGAAACCGGCGATATATACACCTATACACATAAGATGTGAATCCAGCTCATCTTGTAGCCTGAGCCTATAACATCAGAGCAGTCATGTTAAGCCGTATGAAGTGACGTAAACTGACACACCGTCTGAATTTTAAATTCAATTTTCTAATATGTTTCCCTCCTTAGTAAACTGGAAGTATATCAGATTAGGGTTTCTAATTGACCGGTTAACGTGAGTCAAATTGATTAGATCCCAAGGAAGCGAGATAAAGTTCTAATTTGGTTAAACCAAACCAAGAAGATATTTTCATTCGTCACCTTTTGTTATCTCCGATGATTGACACTTGTCCTAGCTTTTGGAATTCGAAAGGGGCACTTTTAGAAAGGTCGGAATAGATAGAGTACAACTCTATCTTCTTTGTTTCCCCATATAGAAACCAAAAATACCGTGTCTCTGGAGTATAGTCAACGAGATGACAAGGTCAACGTCTGCATCCTCTTCTTCTTCTAATGCCATAAAGAACCTTGGTGTTGGACCTCTCTGCCGGTTGAAAACATACAAATGTCGCATTGTCGAGGTCAGATGAAAACTCAGACCAGCGTTTCCACCGTTGTGAGATCCACAGGTTTGTCAGCTGGGCGGACACGGAAGAACCCTCAAATTGGCAGAAAGTTTATTGGAGGCAAGGGATCAGATCAGACGTTACAAAAGTAAAACAGCTGCTTTACGATCTACTTTAGCTGAAAGCAACGCTATTATAGAGACGTTACGGTCATCTGCAGGGAGAAACGAAGATATGAAAATACATCAATCTGAAGACCAAATCTTTGAGATGTTTAATGCCACAAAGAAGACAATGCGCATCATGTTCATGATCACCTGGGTTATGGTGTTACTTACAACAACTCTAATCATTTCTTTTATGTCTAAATAAGGTTTCGAATCCAAATCATATTGTGTTCTATCTTTGACAAGTTGGTTGAAATTTGAACGTTCATGATGTAGCACTTAATTATTGTACTTTTCTGTTCAATATATATAAAAATGTTTTGTTGGTAATATAATCATCTCGCAATCCGGTAACATCTCTAATGTTTTCCAATAAAAATCGACAGATAAAGCTGATTTTTTATGAAATTTAACATGTGTTTCATAGGTAGTACAACAAAGATGTTTACAAAATTTGCAATTATACACTCGGCAGACGTACTGAAACTGTTCAGAATATAGCAGATAAGATTTTTTTTTGGTAGGACGAATATAGCAGATAAGATATGGTTCATATAGAGTAAGGTTTTTTTTTTTTTTTTTTTTTTTTTTTTTTTTTTTTTGTAAATGTAGCTTAAGGAGAAACCAATAGGTGATAGTTTCGTCATTCCAGGTTACATACCATAACCACTTACCTAATTACGAAAAGGTAGTAGTCGATCAGTTAATAAAAATCTGTTTCATGGTTATAGAGTGCAATAACTCTAAAAGTTATTATCGTTGTTAAAGAAAAAAACATTAACAAAAATATTAGTTTGTTCAAAAAGTCGACCTTTAGTTGTGTGTTGAGTCTGATGGACCTTTTTTAAGTTTGCCTTTTGTTGGGCCGTTTGTATGTTTTGTGTTGGGCTCTGTCCCTTTGGACATTGATCCATTAATAAACTTTCAGAGGGAAAAAAAAAAATCCCGTGAGTATTTTACGTTTTACAATGGAAATAATATGTTGATAAAAAAAAAAAAAAGTTCAAAAAGCCGACCTACAAGGAGAACTGTTTCTTAATTCTTCAGGTGCGGTCTCTCTCTTTCTTAAAGGTATTTGCTTTTCTTCCTCAGTGATCGAGAAGTTTCTTCGAGGGCAGGCCCAAATCCCAGATTTTTCGTTAGTTTACTTTCGCTGATTCTTTGGCGACATGTTTTGATGCAACTCTTTATGGGCACATATTAATCAAACATAATTATACAAAAAAAAAGTGATGAATCCGAGTTTTTATCGGTGCCCTTATTTGTGTTAGGTTAGTTAAAGGTTCAATATTTTGGCTTTGATTGTTTATCCCTTTGTTTTGCAGAATATGCCGGTGATGAATCCCTCGTTATGTATGGGTGCACAACCATTGGTGCACCTCCCTCCTCGCTCTACTCATTTTCCCGCTAATGGTATCATCTTTACTTTTCGATTCTTCTTTGTAAAACATCACACATTTTCACACTTCTGGATTTGCTTATTGGCCAGTAACTTTAATTGAATTATTGGCATTGAGGAAGCTGTTTTGTTTTGTGTTTTGATGTTCTGTCTTGGCTTGCTCATGAATAAATTGAAATTGCTTTTTTTTTTACCACCTGGTGTTGTACCAGTTAAAGATCATTGCTTTGTGAGATTGCTCAAGCCTTTTTGATCTTCAAGTGGTTAATAAAGCTCTTCTTCTACTCGTCTTATATGTGATAGGAAAATTTCCTTCTCTCAAGCCACTTGCAAGTACAAGAGCCGTTGTTAGGAGAGGATTTGGTTTAGGCTCTAAGAGCACAAGATCGGTCTTTGCCTGTAACGCTGCGCTGGTAGGTTCTGTCCCCTAGTTACAAGTGTGTTTTTAACTCTTCTCATCAAAACACCATCTCTGAAGAGCTATCTGTTTTTACTTGGTCTGATTTAATTTGTTTCTGCAGAATGCAAAGTGCAGCCAAGGACAAACACAGACTGTTACGAGGGAATCACCAACAATCACTCAAGCTCCTATACATGGTAAAGTTGCTGCATCCTTCCTTCTCTTTGTTCACTTGTTACAGGTGGAATAAACTTGTTTTATGTTTCTAACAGAACAATAAAGTTTAGGCTAATATGATCTGTTTTATGAATCTAGCTAATGATCAAACAGTTATTTACAACACAAACTGTGGCATGATTCATTCTTGTTGATAACCTGATGGGAAGGTTAACAGTAACCGACTGTTCCTGACTGTGACTAGTAGATTTTCTCTTCTAGTATGCATCTCCAGAACTGAAGTCTAAATAAATATATAGATTTTCTCTTCTAGTATGCCCTTTCGGGATTGATAAATATATATATATATATATATTAAAAAAAAAAGTCTAAATAAAGCCTTTTAATTTGATTGGACATCAGGAAAGGAGAAATCCCCAAACCTTGATGATGGTGGAAGCGGGTTCCCACCTCGGGATGATGGTGGTGGTGGTGGCGGAGGAGGCGGTGGAGAGAGCTTCTCAGGTGGATTCTTCCTTTTCGGGTTTCTTATGTTCATGGGATACTTGAAAGATTTGGAGGGCGAACATGAAACCAGCCACTAGAGAGGGGGAAGAACAGACAGATCTCCAGACGAAGTATCCTCCATGAGAAATCAAACCATAGATAATAAGTATCTACCAGGCCTAGCATTTAGACACAGATTTGTATGTTTGATGAGTTTGGTTATGAATCAGACATAATCTTTTTGTTATCTTCGACATAAAACAAAAGCTCCATCTTTATTTGGAACGAGGTTTGGGAGATGAAGAGAGTCGCACATGAATCAATATTGGTAGTATATATTCTCTTCTTTATTACAGGTTTGGCCTAACACTTAAGAAATGTTAAATGCCTGCAAGGGACACGTCCACTGAAAAAAGAAAACATTCGTTTGCTTCAGTATAGTAGCGCCTAAAAGTGGGCTATCGGTGAAAGCAGTTCAGTCACTTGCCAGAGTATAGTAAACAATTGTTGACCGTCATTTGTGGATTAGTTTTCAGTGGCTGCTGGATTGTAGGCATTGGTGCTCCTCTAATGGTGTCACTGGTCCATGTGGAATCAATCACACGAGGTGGAGGTGGAAGTGGCAATGTAGTAGCATTGACTAAAGGATTTCCATGATGACATTCCCAAATTGTGACGACCCGAACCATTTTTTTTTTGTTTTTTGTTAAAGAGCGCCGAACCTAGCGAATTACCAACACTATCTTCATTTCCGATGTATATTCCAAGATTCTGGTGGATACTTAAGGAAGGTTTCAATTGAAGATCCAGCAGCATCCTAGGTGAAAATGAAGGGTTTATGTTTTATGTTGAAACCCATGTTCGAAATTACGTCACGCTAGTCGGGCGGCGACACCAGACCTAGCGAATTACCAAAAAATTAAGAGTTAAGCCGGGTATACGCGGAGTTAATTTAATTATTATTTTATTTTATTTTAATATTTAAATAAAATATAAAAATATGATAATGTAATAGTTATTTTGTATTTTATCATTGAAATTTATATTTATTGGTTGAACAAATTAATTTGATTAGTTTTGAATTTTATTATATGAATATACGCGTATATATTAACTTCTGCGTATTGTTGCCTAATATCTATCGTTTCTTAGTGGCTAAGCAGGCCCGGCCCATAGCATAGGCATAAGAACCAATTGCTCCGAACGTTTTTAAAGTTTTTTAGCATAAGAAAAAAGGCCCAAAATATCTTGAAGTTTTTTCACCTAAAAGAAAAGGGCCCAAACATTCTAATTTGTGTGGGGCATTTAAAAGATTTGGGCCGACCAGGCTAAGTCCCATATTTTTACATCGAGCAGCCCACGTTCGATTTTAATCATTTTGGCGTATTAATGTACAAAAGTCCATAGTCCCACATCAGTTATATAGGAAAAGAAAAGTAAAATCTTTCTCTATATATAGAGTTCATATACTAAAAGGAAGGATAAGGTAATTGGGTTTCGGGATACCTCTAGATCCCAACATATTCTTTCATAACTAAATATTTAAGCCTATATAATCGGCCGATTATGTGGTAATTGGGCTGATTACGCGGTAATTGGGCCGACTAATCCATTTAATGGGCTGAATAATTGATGGCCGATTTTGTTGTCCGATTAGGTCAAAACTGTGGCGAGAGGTGTTTGAGTAGCGCCTAATCGGCCGCTTAGGCGGCCGCGTTTTTGAACAAAAATTAAATTGTGCCTTTATTTTTTTTTGCTCTACAATTTTGGTTTTAGATTTTTAGCTTTGACTCTAAAATTAAAAATGTGCCTTTACGTTTAAATTTTTATTTTTTTGAAGAAAAACATCACAAACGTAAAATATGATGTTTTGCAAACTTAAAAATAGAGTGTAATTTTGAAAATATGGTTAAAAATATTGATAATCAAATCAGATATGCTTATCTTTTGGTTTTGGTAACACAGCTGATCCCTTTTCTAATAGATAACTAATAGAAGTATTTTATCAAACATGATAGAAATGCATATTTGTGAATATACGCAGGTTGTTAGTTGTTAGTTGTTACCTATATATGGTTTTGGACAAATCTATGTAAGCAGTTTCTGTTAAATAATATCTAATGAGATGATTATCCTCTTGGCAAACTTAACCGACTTGACATATTATTATATGTATTTTTCCTCATAAATATCTGAGTATGACCTACTAAATCATACTATAAATAGGGGCATGTACTCTTGTAAGTGTGATTCGAATGAAATAAAAAACACAAGTCTCACTCATTTACTTATCTCTCTCTCTCATCACCTTTTTATAATTTATAACACGTCATCAGCACGAAGCTCTAATCATATATCAAATAAGGTTATACCGGTGAGGTAATGTTTAATTTATGTATTTCCATAATTTTTATTATTGTAATTTTATTATTGTTTCGGAGTAAGAGGCTAGGCCTTCTCCGTTTATTTTTCGGGATGATAGGCGTTGCCTTCCCCGACTGATCGATAAGATGGCTATGCCGTCACGATCAGAGAAACACGTGATAGGCTTTGCCTCCGTGAATAAAAAGATCAAAATGGATGACTATGTCACCTCGGATCTNTTGTTTCGGAGTAAGAGGCTAGGCCTTCTCCGTTTATTTTTCGGGATGATAGGCGTTGCCTTCCCCGACTGATCGATAAGATGGCTATGCCGTCACGATCAGAGAAACACGTGATAGGCTTTGCCTCCGTGAATAAAAAGATCAAAATGGATGACTATGTCACCTCGGATCTTTAATAAAAATGAAAGGTCAAAAATGGCAGACTAAGTCTCCTCGGACCTTGAATAAAAAGAAAAGGTTAACATGGTAGACTATGTCTCCTCAAACCTTGATAAAAGTGATCAACATGGTAGACTATGTCTCCTCGGATCATTTGGAAGGCTAAGCCTCCAATTTTATTTATGCTTTTAAATTTCTGCGATTTAAATTTATGCAATTTAATTTATGCCTTTATTGTATGACTTTGATTTCTGCATTTAAATTATGCATTTAAATTCTCGTCTTTATTATATTTTTAAATTATTATTCTATTAATACAGTTATCATGTCGAATCTGACAAAGCTCGAAATAAATGCCCTGGATATTACGGGAAATAATTATATGACCTGAGCAGTGGGTGCAAAGATGCACCTGAGAGGAAACAGGCTTTTGTAAACCATCAATAATACAAAAACGGTGTCGGATGAGAAAAATGCTAAAGCCATGATATTTTTACGACACCACATACATGATGGTTTAAAATATGAATATATTACGAAAGAGGAACCTTTGGACCTCTCGCAATCTTTAAAAGAGAGGTTCGATCACCAGAAATATGTGATCTTACCAAAAGCTAAACACGAGTGGATCCATCTCCGGTTCCAAGACTATAAAAGTGTTAGTGAGTTTAATTCCGCTATGTTCAGAAATACATCTAGGATGATGTTATGTGGAGAGAAAATAAGTGATTATGATATGATCGAGAAAACTCTCTCCATGTTCCATCCTGGAAATATAGTCCTGCAGAAACAATACCGGGCGAGTGGATATACCCGTTACTCGGAGTTGATGCAAGTCCTCCTTGTAGCGGAGGAGAATAATCAACTCGTGACTTTAAACCATCAAGCTCGTCCCACTGGATCTGCTCCATTCCCTGAAGCGAATGTTCCATCATCTAGTTATGATAATTTGAGAGGACGAGGTCGTGGACGCGGTCGAAACCGTTATCATGGTCGTGGAAGAGGACGAGGAAGAAGATTCCGTCCATATGATAAAAGAAATAATAAAGATTTCCACGAAAATGAAAAAAAAAGTGAAAGGGGCCTGGATGATAAAAAGCAAACAGGAGTTTGCTACAGATGCGGTATGAAAGGGCATTGGGCACATGTTTGCCGTACGCCAAAACATTTAGCCGATCTGTATAAAGATTCTCAAAAGAGAAAAGAGAAAGGAGGTGAAACAAACTTCATCTCTGATGAACCCGGGCCATCCTTTCATGGTTTAAATGATGATACTCATCTCGACGTATCAGACTTTTTGGTTGAGCCAGAAAATATCGATGAGTAATATAAGATTAGTGTGATAGAAGTTTATTGTATTATAGTATCTATATCTTTTGTTGTAAGATATATGTTATGTTTCTTGTTTAATAATGCATGTTTTATGTTATATGATATAAGTTTAATAATACATATTTTCAGAAAGAAAGCCAAACTTTGAGACTATGAATGGAGATATGTGTTTGGCAGATAGTGCTACAACGCACACGATAATCAAAGATAATAAATATTTCTCCAGACTCAAAATAAAAGATTACACTGGAAGCGTAAGTACAATATCTGGTAATGCAAATAATGGGATCTGGAAGAGTGAAATTTTCAATGCCAAGGGGGACGATATTTGAAATAAGTAATGCATTATACTACCCCGAGTTTAATAGAAACTTGTTAAGTTTCAAGGATATCCGAAGAAATGGATACCATATTGAGACTATGTGTAAAGATGGCATTGAATTTCTTTGCATTAAATCCGAGAGGAAACATATATTGGAAGAGTTAAAAATGTTATCCTCTGGACTATATTGTACAAGAATACACATGACTGAATCCTATGCTGTGGTAAACATGAAGTTTACTGATACATTTAAAATCTGGCATGAGAGGCTAGGACATCCTAGTTCAGTCATGATGAGAAAAATAGTGCAAAATTCAAATGACCATCCGTTGAAAAATGGAAGAATTTTGCAGACGGGCGAGTGTTTACATGTAAAGCATGTTCTCAAGGAAAACTTATAACTCAGCCCTCACCAGAAAAAGTAGGCAATGAATCACCAATGTTCTTAGAAAGAATACATGGTGATATATGTGGGCCGATCCACCCACCATGCGGGCCGTTTAAGTATTTCATGGTATTGATGACGCATCTAGTAGATGGTCAAATGTGTGTCTTTTGACAACACGAAATACGGCTTTCGAAAAGTTCATTGCCCAAATAATAAGTCTGAGAACGCAGTTTTCAGGATATGCCATTAAGAAAGTAAGGCTTGATAATGCTGGTGAATTTACATCGCAAGCCT